GTTTCCAAAGAGCGTTTTTGAAGCCTAAATTAGGCGGAGCCGGCAGCGCGTCACCACGGGCGTGATAATCGAAAATGGGCAAAGAGGCGGGAGCTGGTTTCTGAAACCACGCCCACCTAGCTCAACGGTGGTGTTCTATGTCTATGGGACTGACTCCATTTGGAGCCAGCCTCTAGCGGCCAGTCGATGAATTGCAATTTTAATCACTTCCGTGTTGGTTTCACGAGAGAGACCGGATGGTTGCCGCTTGGGCACCCCCCCAGTCATTTTGCTATGCCACGGGCCGGCTCTGATAGTACTGCATATTATTTAAGGCGGATAGTATGCGAACGCTTGTAGAATGCAACCAACCAATGAAATGCAACATGTTTTACAAGTAAAATAATACTTACACGTTATTTAGTTTACAAGTTACAACCTATAGGCTACTTTAAGTTCTCTTGTTCAAAGTAGTTGCAATTTTCAGAAACATTCTTGATCATTTTTGGCCATGTTCCATAACTATTTAGCTGTAATGTTACTCTAGCTAAGTGTGCATGGGAAACCCATGGCATGACCAAACCAAAGCTACTATCAGGGAAAGTATTGCTGGTCGGCTTATATCGATAGTAGTGGTCGTGACCTCTGACTAGAAATAATGTTGCTTTATTCAAGTGTGTACAGATCTACGGGGACTAAACACAATCACTTTTGGAACAAGCAGACATAGGAGCAGCCATCTAATAGTATTAGTCAGTTACCTCTGTCTAATAACCAAGGGCCAGATTACTAAACAGGACAAATTAGTGTTAGAGCGCAATTCCATGAAAGCGCAGATGGGAGGGGAAAATTCTGCGTGTGATTTACTGACAATGCACACATTAAAGAACACAGACGCAGCCAGATCATTTCCATAATGACCAGCACAATCTACCAAAAGCAGCACAAATCACCGCCTGCTTTAAGGCATGCTTTTTTGGGTGTTAAATAATGGTGCAAATACTAGTAATTTGACGAGTGCAAACATTAGTACATAAATCGCATTGCGTGATTCATTTTAATACTCTGTGTCTGAAAGGGAAACACCTTCAAATGCATATTCAATAAGGTCAGGCGCAAAAATAACTGTGTCCATGCCTTTTCAGTGCTAATTCTTCACTGCACGTCTTTAGTAAATCCTGACACTACTATTTTAACAGCAAAAGTAAATCTGGCCCCATGACTGGTTAGTATGTGATCGTGAGGTCCGCTAATGACCAGTGCGAGATCTCTGAGCGACATGAGAATCCCAATGAATGAGTACAATAAGAGCAAAGAGTTAACTAGAATAATCCATTTGAATTAAAATCAATTTAAATTAAATTATTTTGTGCACCGAAAAGACAGAACACGCAAGAAGCCATCAGCCACCATTGGATAACTTCATTCGGCCAATTGGGTGGACCTTACACCTTAGTTTTTTTTAGTGTCTATAAAAACATACTGATACATGTCTAACTGTTGTCTGTGAACTTGTATGAAATCATATAAGTTGATTAATTCATAAATGTATAATATATATATATACTGTATATATACAGTGGGGCAAACCTTCCATCAGCAGGGGCATTGAAGATGAAATGTGGCTGGGTCTTTCAGCATGACAATGATCCCAAACACACCGCCCGGGCAATGAAGGAGTGGCTTCGTAAGAAGCATTTTAAGGTCCTGGAGTGGCCTAGCCAGTCTCCAGATCTCAACCCCATAGAAAATCTTTGGAGGGAGTTGAAAATCCGTGTTGCCCAGTGACAGCCCCAAAACATTACTGCTCTTGAGGAATGGGCCAAAATACCAGCAACAGTGTGTGACAACCTTGTGAAGACTTACAGAAAACGTTTGACCTCTGTCATTGCCAACAAAGTGTATATAACAAAGTATTGAGATGAAATTTTGTTATTGACCAAATACTTATTTTCCACCATAATTTGCAAATAAATTCTTTAAAAATCCTACAATGTGATTTTCTGGATTTTTTTTCTCATTTTGTCTCTCATAGTTGAGGTATACCTATGATGAAAATTACAGGCCTCTCTCATCTTTTTAAGTGGGAGAACTTGCACAATTGGTGGCTGACTAAATACTTTTTTGCCCCACTGTGTGTATATATATATATTATTCTTCTTTTGAAAGTGAAGTTTAAAGGTTGGATTAGAGATGAGATAGCCTTCTTACATATTTACATGAATGTCTGTATGTCTTCATCAACAATTTCCATCATGTACCATTATTACACATTTTGAGAAGATCAGGCTGAAAACATCTGGCATGTTAGACAGACAGGAACTCAAGAGTTTGTCAAGTGTGAAACCACACAAACTACACACACACACACACACACACTATCAAGGATATAAAACAGGCAATTTTCTCATCTTTTGGTTTGAGGAGTCGTTGGCGTCCCTCTGAGTGGCTGACTTTTCTGATCTCCTGAACTCCTAAAAAAACTAAAAGAAAACACTGACATCTGACAACAAGAGAGAACAATATTCTCAGGTAAATGTGGTGTTCACATGAGAGGTCAATGTACATATTGCTTTCTATTATACTGGTTTAGTATTTGTGAAACACTGTTGTGTTTCTTGTCTTTCAGCATCTGCTCTTCACTAGATCTACAAGATCATCTGAGGGATCTGATTGAATCAAGATGCTGCTGATCACTGAAGCTCTTCTTCTCCTCGTTATAGCTGCTCTAGGACAGGTAAGCTTGTATTCTAGTATGAATATTACAGACATGAATACTGACGATTGATTATTATGATTCCTGTTGCTGCAGGATCACAGAGCAGCTGTTGAAGAACAGATATTTTCACTGGATATGGCAAAAAAATCAGTTGATGATCAATATAAGGGCTGTAGAGAGAAAATGGCAGAAAAGGTGAAGACGGTATTTCTAAACAAGGAAATGAATAACTCACCTGGTTTTGAAAATGCTTGGAAAAAAGGTGTAGACTTTGTCAAGACCCAAAATGACAAGCTGACAAAGAATCATTCAATCGCTATTTATGTGTACAGTGAGTGTAATATATATACACTTTTTAATAAGGACACTCGTTCTGGTAAAAAACAGTACAAAAACGAAACATACAAATGGTATTCACTTTACTTTCTGTTAACAGAAGCGATACAGATTCTGAAGAAAACACAAAACAAATGCTATTCAACTTTTCGTGGTACCAAAGCTGAATTTGATAAGCATGTCCTGAACAAAGAAGTTCGTTTTGGCCAGTTTGCTTCTTCTTCTCTTGTTCGTAAAAAAGCACAGCGTTTTGGAACTGTATCTTGTTTTGAAATCAAAACTTGTGAAGGTGCTGATGTGTCAAAATATTCTAAGCTTCCTCATGAGAGAGAAGTGCTGATTCCTCCATATGAGACGTTTAAAGTCACTGCTGTCAGGACAAAAAGAGATGAGAAAGATCTCTGGTGTGACACTGTGTACACTTTAAAAAACACTGGAAAAACAAGTAACCTGAACTGTGCTCTATTCAGGAGACCAACCAAGACCATAATGAAGTAATGTGTTGTGCGCTGAACAAAATGCTTAAATTCAAATGATAAAATCATGTACAACAGTTCTATATATAGATTGTTTTTCTCTCAGTTTTGTTCAATAATTCTTTGTTGGAAAACACAATTTGTTTACATAACTTCAGCATAATGAAATAAAGTTACTTTTATGTGACCCAATTCAGTGGCCTTTACGTGATTTTATGTTTTTCTAAAACATTTCTTTGTTTATACTTACACATTTTTGCTGAACAATTTTAGTGCTTTGCTAGCAATATCATAGCCACCAATACAGCTTACAGCAAAACATTTTTATCAATACAAAAAAATAGATTTTTTGCTTCTTGTTGAATTTAATTTGTTTCAGTAAACATAAACAGAAGTTCAATCCACATAAATATTTTAAAATAAAAACTGACTTAATATTTATTCGCTTAATCTTAATCAGGAGACTGAGAAGAGCTCCTGTGATGTTGGAGTTTTTGTGGTTTTCATTGTGCAGAAGAGTGAAGCTTGTGGTTTTGTTGTGGGCAGCTTTACTAACACCATGATGCTTTACAAAAATGAGCAATGATGAGTCTTCATCTCACTACAGTAAGTCACAAATGTATTAGTAGCTAGCAGTTAAATAAAATGGATTGATTTAAGTAGTAAATAAGAGAAATTCTAATCAATTCGGTTTGTTCAACAAAACATTGACTTATTCAAGTCTTCTTACGTGAACTTTATAAAGCTTATCTCAGTTTGATTAAGTTCACTGAACATCTTCTGAGTGTATGCATTTGAAAAATATGTAAGGATTTATACATGAGTCTTACTCGTCTTAGACAGACAGGAATTCAAGAGTTTTTTTCCTACTTGAAGCCACACAGACCAGACCTTCACAAGTGCTGCTTTATCAGAGGAGATGAGAAGATTCACTCTTTCAACTCTTACCTATTCGAGCCGCGTATTAGAGACGTGTCTCTGGTACAAGAAATAGTAGGTGAGTCTTTACTCACTTACTCATTCGTGTTGCCAGATCTTGCTAGAACAAAAGCACAAACAAGAACAACTTCATAATAAACCGAAATAAATCCAAATACTTAATATTTAAAATATGACAAAAATATTGTGACCCACAAGTGCCCACTTTATAAGTCCATAAACCAGATCGTTTTGTGAGCTTTGCACAAACAACAAGCTCATAGACATAAAAAAAGAGGACATGGCAACACTGCATGAGAAGTGCTCTGCAGAGCATGGCTATACCAGGTGACTCCAAACTCGGTCCTGGAGGGCCGGTGTCCTGAGTTTAGCTCCAACTTTTCCTAAACATACCTGCCTGGAAGTTTCTAGTATGCCAAGTAAGACCTTGATTAGTTGGATCAGGTGTGTTTAATTAGGGTTGGAGCTAAACTCTGCAGGACACCGGCACAGCAGGACCGAGTTTGGAGACCCCTGTGCTATAAAAAAATGATGCCTCTGTTGGCTGTGGTTTAGTTAAAGGGGTCATAGGATACTACATGCACTTTTACAAGTTGTTTGAACTGAAATGTGTGTTGGCAGTGTGTGTACACAACCACCCTATAATGATAAAAATCTACCCAGTGTTTTTTGTTAATCTACTAAAACCTTTCTCAAATCTAGCTGATCTCAGATGCCTGTCTGTGTGATGTCACACAGACAGGCCCCTCCCATGAGAGTTTCAGCACAGACTGGACTGGTGTCTTACCTTAGACCTGCTCTGAGTGAGCTGTCATCAGTCCTCCATTGTTTCACAGCTTGAGCAGATGTAGACAAGAATGACTCCTTCCTAAGCGATTGAGGTGTTCTGTTGATGGATGTAATAATGAACAGCAGTCCTCATTTACTCCCGACATCTGAGCCGCTGAAGACGCAGTGGATTACATTTATTTTTGAAGGGAATGCGCCCCCGATCTACGTAAATGGATCTATGTTTGCGCAAATCATTCGTGATCCAGCTTCATCTACAGAAGAAGTGAGTATAATGTTTTGTAATGAATCTTTGCAAATCACCTTTCCTAGTAATGTGCTAATTAGCAAGTTTCACGATGAATGCGGCTAAAGTAAACAGTCCCTCTGAGAGCAGCTAGGAAGAGAGGGGCGGGGTCAGCAGAGCTCATTAACATTTAAAGGAAAATGCTACAAAAACGGCTTGATCTGAAAAGAGCTGTTTTTGACAGGGTAGAAAATGTGTTTTTTTACACTACCATTGAGAAATTAGGACCAAACTATGTTACAGACTTTTCATTAAGACCCTAAAGAATCATATCAACTTGTGGAAAATGGGCATCCTATGAACCCTTTAAAATTGTAGAACGAGTTGTAATATTTCTTTGGAAAGTGAGCTGTTTTGTGTACAAACACGAAACCATAATTTGGGGAATTCACTCCTTTATTTTAATGCGGTTGTCACTCCTGAAACTTTACAGTGTGGTCAGATTTTACAGAACCATATTGTAAAATGTTATGAAATTTATCAACAGTCAACAGTGTTAATAACAACTTCAGACAATAACAGTCAAAAGTTGCTTACAGGTTTGTGATATACACTCTTAAAAATAAAGGTGCTTCAAAAGGTTCTTCAA